CTTCCCTGCACGCAATGCTTCTGCCAAAACTACCACCCATGGACTTACAGAATGCCTTATCCACCGTCATGGTATCCCACACAGCACTGCTTCAGATCAAGGGACTCACTTCACAGCAAATGAAGTGCGGCAATGCGCTTATGCTCATGGAAGTCATTGGTTTTACCATGTTCCCCATCATCCTGAAGCAGCTGGCTTGATAGAACGATGGAATGGTCTACTGAAAACAATTACGGTGCCAGGTAAGTGGCAAGACCTTGAAGGGTTGGGACAATGTTCTCCAGGAAGCTGTATATGCCCTAAACCAGCATCCAGTATCCGGTGCTGTTTCTTTAATAGCCAGGATTCACAGGTCCAGGAACCAAGGGGTAGAAATGGGAGTGGTACCATTCACTATTACCCCTAGTGACCCACTCAAAAAATTTTTGCTTCCTGTCCCTGCCACCCTATGCTCTATGGATCTGGAGATCTTAGTCCCAAAGGGAGGAACACTCCCACCTGGAAACACAATACTGCCTGCATTGAACTGGAAATTAAGAATGCCACCCGGCCATTTCGGCTTCCTCATGACTCTGGATCAACAGACAAAGAAGGGCATTACTGTACTATCTGGTGTGATAGATCCTGATTACCAAGGGGAAATTGGATTGTCATTACATAATGGAGGTAAAGAAGAATATGTCTGGATTACAGGAGATTCTTTAGGACATCTCTTAGTACTACCATGCCCTGTGATTAAAGTCAATGGAAAATTATAGCAACCCAATTCTGATATGACAACTAATGGCCCTGACCCTTCGGGAATGAGGATTTGTCACCCCACCAGGCAAGGAACCATGACCAGCTCAGGTGCTTGCTGAGGGCAAGGGAAATACAGAATGGGTGGTGGAAGAAGGTAGTTCTGAGTATCAGCTATAACCATGTGACCAGTTGCAGAAACAAGGACTGTGAGTGTTTCTTTTCTTCATTGTATATGTGCATCAAATATTTTTGTTTCCTTCAGTTATGAACTGTGAAATGTAAATAAGGTTAATGTGTTTCGTTTGTATGCATGTTAGCATATCATGTTAGGTGCAAATATGACTTTACGATTGTCCTCATTTAGAGATTATATATGGTTAAGAAGATGTGTACAACTGCCAAGTTGACAAGGGGTAGACTGTGACAGTTGGAGCTGTGTGTCAACTTGGTAGACAACAATTCTGTGTGGTTTAAGCAATTGTGATGTGGGTTGTTCCTATGATGGGATCAGATATATATGTTTTGAGCAGCCAGTCCACTCAAAGGGAGTTTCCTTAGGGGTGTGGCCTGCTTCCAGTATATTTATGGACATCCTAGGAAAAGAGACACTCCTCTATGGATTGGGATTCTGTTGTGCTGCCTGCAACAGTCCATGAGTGAACCATCCACCATTCAGCCTGGAGATCTTAGATTCGTCATTTGTTGGAGTCAACAACCTGTATGCTGCCTGCCAACCTTGAGTGTGTCTGACCCTGCAGCCATGTGAGTCAGGAAAAGCCTCCAGCTTGACTTTTAATCTAAGAACTTGGGACTTGCCAGCTTCTGTAAGTGTGTGAGCCATTTTCCTAAGATAAATTTCTCTCTCTCTCTATCTCCATTTAAGCTTTACTGGTTTGCTTCTCTAGAGAACCCAGTCTAACACAAATGTGTACACCCCAGTCAGGCTTGTAGAACCCATTTCCACTTAGGACTTAAACTGACTGTAGGTATTCACATACTGATCATTGTCACATTGTATTATTATTCCCCATGTGGTTTCTCTAGTCATTGTCATATATCTTTCAGCTATTGTAGCAAGATTACCTGTAGTGGTGCAGTAGCAAATTATATCTGGAACCAGATGTTAAATTCAGGTAACATGACTTGTTAAAGGCAGTCTTTGTAACCATTTGTTGTTGTTGTTTGCTGTCGAGTCGGCCCCGACTCATAACGACCCCTCCTTGGGTTTCCGAGGCAGTATCACTACGGAAGTAGGATTGCCCAACCTTCCTTCCGAGGAGTGGCTGGTGGGTTTGAACCGCCAGCCTTCTGGTTAGCAGTCAAGTGCCTTAGCCACTATGCTACCAGAGCTCATTTAAGGTAAGCATATTGGCATTCCAAGGTGACAGATATAGACAGACATCTTAAATGCTTGGTAGATCCTTCCTTAAGGATTCTAGCAATATGACAGTCCTACCTACACTCTATACCAGCAGAATGCCAATATCAATATATTCCATTTGAGGCTGAGGAGCTGCCCTTACCAAACAGCCCTTTAGCCCATTATCTACCTGCTCTGCAGTACTACTTTAAAGTTTCTGGAAATTCTGCAGGACACTCTCTTCAATAATCACGATTTTCTGAACCACTTTATAAGGTTGTTAAAGGAGTTCTGGTGGTGTACTGGTTAAGGCATCTGATTGCTAACCAAAAGATCAGTGGTTCGAACCCATCAGCCACTCTGCAGAAGAAAGATGGGGCAATCTGCTTTCTAAAGATTTACAGCCTTGGAAACCCAATGGGGGTCAGTATGAATCAGAACTAATTCAATGTCAGTGAGTATGCACGAGTAGCATGTCCAACAAGGACAGGTTTTCATAGTCCATCAGAAACAAGTTCAAAGTTGTAATATTCTCATCATTTTTCTCACTACTGAAAATCAGTGTGCTCTTATTAAAGGTCTACTCCTTTTAACAAACGATTAGAGTATCTACACAAACAGTATGTTCTTAGCCAGCATATTCATGACTGGTGCCTGCAGGTTTTTATTAAATGAGTTTTTGCTTCTAACAGCATGACCAAGCCTATATAGCTGTAAGAGAGCTGACCTGGATTTGGAACTGCTTCCTGAACCTTAAACTAAAGCATCAGCTAAACTCTCCTTGGTGAATATTCATATCAGCAAGGATACAAGAAGCTCCAGGAGCTTAGTGTTAAGGCCTTTGTAAGAATTGGGTTTGTTCTCAGAAGACTTCATTTCTTTTGAGTCAATTATATTAAAGTTTCAAGAATCAGTGTTTTTCTCCTGCTCATCAGTGCTGCAAATCAATCTTTAATTCACAAGCAGACTATAAAGAAAGATAAATGTTGAACTACCTTCCAATGTCAGCAGTGGAGAATCATACTGTTAATAAAAACTATTTTAATGAAAATCTGCAGGAGAGATGACAACAGACAAAATTCAGGGGAAAAGTGTGAGTATGCCATACTAAGATAAAATTCAAAGTCAAACTTTTTTTATCCTCCCAGGGTTATTAGGCATTTAAGTATAATGACTGAGTCACTGTTTAATATAATAATATAGCAGAATCAAAAAGCACAGTGACTCATGGCAGTTAGGAAGCAAAAGAATACTCAACCATAAGCACTTACTGTCTGAACCCAGCAGGTACACAGCAGAAATTAGCAATGATGTTGGAAGAGATAAGGATTGTGTCAGGGCCTGAGTATGAAGGGAAGAAAGGAAGTCAGTATCCATGCTGTGGATGGATACTGGCAAAACACCTGGGGAAAACGGAGGCTTGCAATATGACATTAAGTAATTGAACTAAATTTCAATTTTGGCACACAGTGTAACTAGCTATGATTATGAAACCTCCATTAATCTGAGTCTCAGTTTGCTTATTTTCAAAACAGAAACTTAAAATGTCAATCTCATAGGATCATTACAATGAGACTGAATATGGATACAACTATAAAATATCACATTTGTATTTACAGTTTTATCTATATGCAGTCTTATTACCCATTAACCATCTATGAGGTGGGATATTATCTTCATTTTATAAATGAGGAAACTGAAACTCAGGGAACAAAGTTAATTTCCCAAGATCACTTAATTAGTATGGAAGTGTCAGAGTTACCAAAATTCAGACTCAGATCTTCTGACACTTTCTGTAATACCAAAGCTGCTTATAAAAAACAAATACAAAATATATAATAAGTAACCTATTACTTTACACAAAAGGGAATGATTGAAGATTTGCTAAAAATCTTATGTAAAAAAAGGAAGGTATTCTCTATTCTTGCTAGTAAATCTGACATACTTTACAAATCATAAAAATAATGTTTGACTACACATAAAAAAAAGAAAAAGTCTAGTTCACCCTTTGGGACTCATCTTACCAAGGCACAATAACTACAATAGCTAAATGAGTAAAAGTCAGATCATGGGTTCTACAACATTTAGCTTAGCCGCCTACTTACCTCAGATCCCAGTGAGAAAACATTATTAAGCACTATTAACATGGGTTCTTAATCAAGGCCCACACAGAGAACATAAGGCTATACCATTCAATAGGGTAAGCACTGTCAATAAGGCTATCAAGCACTGGAAATGTGGCCCGTGCAAATGAGGAACTGAATCTTTAATTTCATTTAATTTAAATTTTAAATTCAAAATTTAAATTCAAAAACCAATACTCAACTGGAAAACTTTAAAGTATGTTGGAACTACTTGGATATGTGAATCTATCTTTTCAACTATAAATTTTATGAAACTTAAATACAGATCAAGTATTTCTAATAAAAAATTAAGAGTCTGAATTGAGATATGCTATAAATACAACATATACACTAGATTCTGAAGACTTAAGAAAAAGGGAATGTAAAATATCTCATCAATAATTTTCTACATTAATTATGGGTTAAACTAATATTTTTGATATATTGGGTTAAATAAAATATGTGATTAAAATTAAGGTACAGTTTCTTTTTACTTCTTATATAGTTATTAAAAATTTTAAATTACATAGGGTGCTCACATTATTTATCTACTGGACAGCACTGGTGTAGGGAAATAAGAGGAAGTTTGAAACCTAAAAGTATATGCAACTATAAGAGGAAAAAGCTCTCAACATTCAAAGGCAGCAAAAACTGATTACTGGGTAAATATAATAAAATGACATAGATACACAGGTAACAATATAAGTATCTAAAGGAGATATATGGGTACTACTATAGTTTTGAATCTAGTGCCACCTAGCAGGCATAAAACTTACCTTGTTTACTTCATTCACAATAAAGTCTTCTGAAGCTGTAACTTCTGGGATGCCATCTAGACCAATTCCTTGACAAGTTAGGCTGCCATACAAAGTTGGTTTTCCTGTATAGCCCCAAAGAAGCAAGTTTCAAAAAATCAGTAAGAATTTAACGTTTCTTCATTACAGATGGTAGGAAATTAGCCCATGAAAGAAAAGCACACATCTGTATTAAAAATGAAGCTAAGGGAAAAGAGCACTAGAGTAGGCAAACCTAATCTGGAAGGGAATATTCTCAAGGGCCTAAAGCTGAAACCAACAATTTAGCGATATGATATAGCATTTGTAAAGAGAGTTACTAGGATGATCTCAACTTCAATTTTACTGCTGGTGAAAATTAATTCTTCCAGGATGAAAGGTGAAAATCAACACACATATATACATTTATCCACAGTAATACACATGGAGTCACCATGAGTTGGAATCAACTTAATGCAACTGTCTCTGAGTATGTGCGTGTGTGTGTGTGTGATGCACACAAAATAATGACTGAAGAGTTAAGCTTCAGCAATCTGAAAAATGTGCCTAAGTATAACACTGCTTTTGCAGTTATGTGGGCTAAAGAAGAAATTATCCTATACTTAAACATATAAAAATGGTAGAACAGAGTTAAAAACTTACTCTTCTTCTGCACCTCTTAGACACATTTCTATAACATCCCTTAGCATGCTGTTCACATGTCTGACTTGCCACTATATTGTGAAATCTTGAGTTCAGGAACTAGCAGGGTACTTAACCAATAGAAGTTATTCAGTAAGTGACTGTTGTACCAAACTGAAGTTCTTGGAAAAAGAGTTAAGTAGAAATCATCATGGATTCACAGCATAGAAGGGCTTTCTAGAAAAGGTTAGACTTGAAAGAAAGATAGGACCTATAGGACCTAGCTAGACAGAAGGGGAAGAAAATTCCAAGTCAGGGAGGGGCATATCAAGAACAAAAGACAGACAGAAAGAACAAGGGAGAAAGAGGCATCAATTAATCTATCAGTTTGACTCAGAAGTCATGGAAAAGGTAGTTGAAGAATAAATCATGGAGGAACTCACAATTGAGGATAGAAATTTTGACTAAAGATCCAGTGAAGAAGCTTTAGCAGGGAAGTGGCATGAAGTGCTATTTCAGAAAGATATCACAAAACCAAGATTGAGAAAATTCTGCTTTCTGTCCCACTCCACCATCCCTCCTGGATTCATCCACTGCCCTATGAAGTCTGGCTCCCATAATACATCACTTCAACCAATCTCCTGTCAGTACTTTCAATGATTCCTCAATATTTGAAAAGCCACCAAAATAATATTACTCTTGGATTTTTGTCTATGCAATAGAACTGGGATCAATCCAACAACTTACCTTCTATGTTCCTATATGCAGGCTGCTGAATGCTGCTACAGGAAAGGACACAATTGTGGAAATTTCCACTACTACAAATTAATGTGTCTAAACTCAGTATGGTTTTGCAGTACTTCTGCTCCTCCCATTCCCTGCAACAGCCAGGTCTCATGTCACATACCCCACCATTAAAACCCTCCTTTGTTCTGATCAGGGACACAAAAGGTAGATTGTGACAGAATGGGAGAAAAATGTAGAAAAGAACTCAAATTCTTAAAAAATCCAGACTTAGTAGACCAGTTGAAACTAGATGAATCCCTGAGATTGCTTCCCTAAGATACTCTTTAAACCTCGAACTGAAACCGTTCCCTAAAGTCACCTTTTAGCTAAATTAACAGGTTGACTCATAAAATAAAGACTATCACCCTTGAGTACTGCTCTCCTTTTAAAAGATCATCTCTATGAGACCAAATGGTCCACAATTACTCTAAAGCACAGATGACAAGGTATGTGGGCAGGGAAACTAGGTTACTGGAAATGGAACAACCAGAATGGAGATAATGAGAATGTTGACATATTCTCACATAAAGAGATTATAAAGAATGTAAAAGGTGTCAATGAACAATTTGCACAGAAATTGTTGAACAGGAACCTATTTTGTTGTGTAAACTTTCATCAAAAATACAATAAAGTATTTTTAAAAACCAAACAAACCCTCTTCCTTCATAGTAGCCAAAAAGTGCAACACAAATGTCCATCAATTAACGAATAGAGACACAAACTATAGTATAGGCATACCTCAGAAATAGTGCAGGTTTGGTTCCAGACCACTGCAATAAAGCGAATATCACAATAAAGTGAATCACATGAATTTTTCTTGGTTTCCCAATGCATACAAGTTATATTTACATTGGTTACATTGGTTCTTTAGTTAATCATGTTTTTAAAAAAAACCCTTGCTTTTCAAATTGTTTTTTCTTCAATTATTTCCCATCTTTAAAAGCAAAACAAAACTTGACTATGAGACCTTCTAGCTACCACTCTCTCTTCTTCCATGAAGCACCAGTTTCCTCAAAAGCAGATTCTGTGTTTAAAACTTTGTCCTTGAAACGGATTATTATATAAAGATATCAAAGGTATCTGAAATGAAAAATAATCAGTAAAACAAAACTTCCTTGGAAGAGGTCCACGATGGCGATATAGTCAAATGTGTTTTAACATCCTTCTTACAACAAAGACCTGAGAAAACAAGTGAACTGGATATACATGACAACTTTAAAACCCTGAGCATCAAAGGCAAGGATCCATATCCAAGCTGAAGGAGAGACTCTACAAATACAGTGAACATGGAGAATTATGGATTGCCAGCACCCAGCTGGCTGAACCTGCACAGCTGCAGTGAATTGCTTGATGTGGCCCTTCTAGCCATTGTCCTCCATTCTGTGGTGTTTTGTAAATCCCATTATCCATGCCTGTTTGGGGTGGTGTGGTAGTTAAGGTCAGGTATCAACTTGGCTGGGCAGCTGGTAGTAGTCATTCCCTATAATGACTGGCAATCGACTCTGTGATGGGATTTAGGTTAATGCTGTTGGGGCAACACAGGTGGAATGTATCTTGAGTCCTGCCTTGCTGGAGGGTATAAATAAAATCACACCCTTAGCTTCCCTGAGGGTATACCTACGAATCTCCTGGCAAGATTCAATCTCCTGGGAAGATTCGCTCTCCTCTTGCTCCAGCTTTGTTTTCTTCGATCATCCTCATCTCACCCCTGGATTTGGGACAGCAGCCGCTGTCTGATCTGCTGATCGAGGTTCATCAAACCCGGAGAGTTGGGAGGATCCGCCAGACCTGGGACTCGCCAGCCTGCCAGCCTCCACCACTACTACGTGAGACGAACCCTTGGGTGTCTGTGAGTTCTGTGAGACGTTACAGCGAAATACAGAACCCTAAGACTGGGGAAATTACTGGGAGGAGGAGGAGAGGTTAATGTCTGAAATGATGGAGTGGCATGGTAGTTTGGACATCTGGGACATCTTTGACCTCCACCTCATGGGGACTGGCCTCGTGCTGATCTTTCTAAGAGAAATTGTTCAAGCAACAGCACAGCCAGCCATACTGACATAAAGTGAGCAGTGTTCCCAGTCAAAGCCCTCATTACCTGGTGCAGTCAAGGAGGAGCAACTCTGCACCCACATCCAGAGCCAAGCAGGGGTACTTCCCACCCTACAAAAGGTAAGTGCACTCACCTCATCCACTACGTCCCCCTTACCCCTCCATGCTGGACGCCTGTGAATGTGTGGTATCCCCTCACTCCCCTTCATCCTTACCCCCCAGGCAAGTGATTATGGCCCCTAGCTTCCCATCAGGTCTGGAACTGAACCCACGCCTATGGCTTCCAGCCAAACAATAGACAGGCATATGAGTTGAACATGTACCTGAGGTAGATACACTCCTTGGAGAGAACATCATGGGAGAAAGAAGGGCTGCTTATGCACAGGGAGACGGCTCAGGGGGCAGGAATGCATGGAGGAATGGACACAGGGAAGAGGTAACTACCGGGAGGAAGTAGGAGGGGAGCTGTTGCATTGTGGTAAATTGTGGTCAATGTCATGAGACAAAGTGTATGTGAACTGCTGTATGGAAAGTGAATTTGCTCTGTAAATTTTCACCCAAATCACAATTTAAAAAAAAAAGAAAGAAATGACTGCTTTAAACTTAGGACAATAAAGGTAAATTTCAAGGTGACAACAGAGAAAATTAACAAATTTACTCAACAAAATAAAAAAGAAAAACATAAAGACTAACTAAACATAAAACCAACAATGATGAAAAAAATCATCCAGAAACAAAAAGAACTCAGCACAGAAAATTAAGTGGAACAAAGAAACTGTCAACACCACAAAAAAAGCACAACAAAATGATAGCAGTAAATTCATACCTATCGATAATCGATAATCTGAATATAAATGGTTTAAATCTACCAGTCAAGAGAAAGAGAGTGACAGTATTCATAAAAAACATGACTCTTCAATATGTTGTCTTTAAGAGACACACTTAAGATATAAATACGACTCATAACAACAACTTCAATATGTTGTCTTTAAGAGACACACTTAAGATATAAATAAGGAACAAAAATCAAAGGATAGAAAAAAATATATCAAGCAAACAATAGCCAAAAAGGAGCAGATGTGGTGATATTAATCTCTGATAAAAATAATTACACCACAAAAGACAAAGAAAGGCATTACAGAATTAAAGGGAAAATTCATCAAGAGAACATAACCGTAATAAATACTGCTATATCCAATGACAGAGGTCCAAAGCACATGAAACAAATTCTAATAACATTGAAAAGAGAAAAGACAGTTCCACAATAAGAGCAGGTAACTTCAATACATCACTTCAAGTGAAGGAAAGAACTAGAAAGTAATTCAACAAAGATACAAAAGATCTACAAGCTGTAATCAACAACCTTCATGACATAGACATGTATAGAACACTCCACTCAACAGCAATATACTCAAAAGTATACATTATTTTCCAATGCACATGGATCACTCTCCAGAATAAACCACATTTTAGACCACAAAGCAAGCCTCAATAAAATCCAAAACAATGAAGTTATACAAAGCATATTCTCTGATCACAACGCAATAAAAATAGAAATCAATAATAGGAAGTCCAAGGAAAAAAAATCTAAGACATGGAAACTGAATAACATCTTGCTTAAAAACCA